TGCAGACGAGCTTGAGCAAGAGAGGGAAGTTTAAAATGGCGTAAATGTGTACACTCACAGTGCGTGTTTTTGATTTTAACTCAGGAGCGCGCAACGGAATCGCACAGACTTACTCCGAGAGGTTATTTTGAGAAAAGCCAGAGGCTCGTCTTTGGGTTTGTGTTTCTTTCACCTTTATGCTTTCTTTTAGAATTCGGTCCTCACTGAAAACACAGCAGCACACAAAGCAGGAAGTGAACAGGAAGTGTGGATGGTCCAGAAGCAACCTTACAGGAAGTCATTCTGCAACAGCAGCGCACCATTAGGGAGTACAGATATACTTAAACAGAGCAAATTCATAAATAGCTTGCACAACTCATTTCCAGATCACTGGCACATGTATGACCTAAATATTGTTGATCTATTAAATACATAAGCTACACATGTAACAAATTCCTTCACGCCTCTGATCATTTGCAAACAACATCATATGATTCTATTATACACCTGACAGCAGACGTGTAGTTGTGTGACTGTTTGGCAACCAGAATTAAGAAGTGCAGCTTGGCAACCTCACTAACTTCTTTGTTCTTTTTTGACCTCAGCGAGCCGCAATCTGTTTGTAAAGCCCCTGAATCCGCAAAGCCGGATTATTCAACAGGTTTTTCTGTGATAAACGGGGTGACGGACAAAACACCCAGCACGACTGCTTTCTGCACATCACCGTGTCCGGGTCTCAGCTCATGTTCAGTTCAGACAGCAGACAGCTTCTTCAGTACACTTGCCAAAAAAAGCACTCACAGTGCTATTAGGTTAGCTTGAAGGGTAACAACAACTTTAAAAAAACAACAACAACAACAAAGAACATAAAATCACGTGCCCACAACCAGACAAGCATGAGGAGGAAGTGATGCACAGCTGCGGACGCCCAACTTGGGCGTGTGCTCTGTCATGTTTCCTGCTCCTCTCACCTCCCTCGAATCCAAACATGCTGACTACGAGCGACTTTACAGGCTCATCAACACAACAACACCGTTTATACGTTTCCCATTGCAGTGATCGGTGTGTGTGTGTGTGTGTAACTGTGTGTGGGAGTGGGAGATGAATGTCGCAACCAAGTGTAAGACTCCTGCCATGAGGAGATTACATTGCAGCACTACCCTGTGACCAGCAAATACAGTACTGTAGGCTTGTAACACACACACACACACATGCACACACACTTTCCCACCAAACCCAGCTGTTTTAGCAACAACCCCCTTGGGAGGTTGTAACCCAGACACAGCCCGTGTGGCAAACTATTAACACACACAGGAAACAGGCGAGACTGGTAGCCGACACAGGACAAGCGTCCAACAACAAAACACCACCATTTTTTTTAAACTCCCATTTAAATCCTTTGTGTGTCAGCTGTGAGGGGCCACTTCCCTCACTCATATCCCCGCTGCTCTTGTTTTGTTTCAAAGCCGGTGGAGCACATCAATGGATTTATGAAGAACTTCTGTAGAGACGTCTTTTACACTGGCTGATCAGCACGTCATAAGAGTTCAAGAGATAAAAGCTCATCTTTTTCTTTCCCCTCAGCTGAACTCTCATCGCCTTCTAGCCAAAACGGTCTGCGTCACAACTGTCCGCAACAACCCAGTCATCCACCTGTAGGGTTTGAAGGAACACTGAATATTTTATGCTTTTTTTCCCCTATTCAGCCTCATTACTGTCATCACCCCAGAACCACAAAACCATGAGGGGGAGGGGGGCAGTCGAGTTCAAATTAGACAGAAAGGAGAGCCTTAAGGGGAGAACATGGAGTAACAATCAAAAGATCAGGAGGCACAACAGCATTAAACAGATTTGTCTTTGAGTCTATTTCTAACCAGCTACGGGGGCTGACTTAGCACTTCAGCAGCGGGCGAGTCACTTGATTTCTGAAATGAGTAAATGGCAGGGAGCCGCACAGAGGGCAACGGCGGGGGACAGAGATCGATATGCAAATGGAAATTTACACACCGCTCGCCAAACACACATGCAAGGGTGCAAAAGCTGAACTATTGGCGGGCCACTCTCACTCAGAGTCTGTCCTGACATAAAGCTTTCAATCGGGGGTGCAAAATGCAACACTCAACATAAAACCAGCGAGAGTGGGAGCCTGAACGTAAGTGCATGTGCGTGTGTGTGAAGGTGATGGTGAGTGTGTCTACTTATCTACTGATTATAGCCTGCTTGCACTCGACTGAGCCGATACTGTAAATGGATGCATCTGGATAAAGACGCAAAAGCCAGGCCAGGGGCAATTTAACAACAACTGTTTAGGAGGGAATTACAGTAGATGCATCTGATCATGTCTGCAATGCAGATCCACTGACTCAAGCGTGCGTACGGATCCAGGATTGTAGGATTGTAGGTCGTTCAGGAATTGGATGCTGGCAACACGAGACTGAGTATACGTTCGTTGGCCTTCACGTCAACCCCCGTTGCCCTCGTAATGCACATTCGCACATGCAGACATAAGCTCTGAGCCAAGGGCATTGCATGATGGGAGCAATTAAACGGCGTCCCCTCTTATCAAAGGCCCTCTTCTCTGGGAATAAAAGAGGCTCGGAGGTCATTGGGAAAAAGTAACTGCTTATTCAGCAGGAAGTTATCTTTTTCCATGTGTTTATTTGCAAGCTTCCCATTTCCTGTCAAACACACACACACACACACACAGATCACATGTGATGAAAAGGAGCAGCATCGGCTCACCCAGCAGAGTAATTACATGTTACTACTTAGCCCCTGTTTAATTACAGCAAGACTTTCACGCTAATAAAACTAATTCCGAGGTACTCTCGCGAAGATAATGCTCCTCTGCTGATCTGACCTTCCTTACTGAACAAAGAAATGAAAACCTGCTCACAAACTGATGATAACGTCAAAAAAGTAAATTAAAAAAAGGAGCAAGAGGGAGCTAAAGGCAGACGTGTTAGTCACTGAGTCATTTACACATCAACAGGCCTCTTGGCTGGTCTCCCTTTCGCTAAATTCAGTTCAGCGACAGCCACCAGCGGCCTATACGGCTTCCCTTTTCACCTTTTTCTGTCAGCACCACCTACTCCACTTCCTGTTACAGTTGTCACAGCGAATGAGCACAAAGGAGATTCACTCTGTGGCTGACAATGAGGCAGCTGATAAAGCCTTCCCCTGGGGAAATGGGGCCAGTGTTTTTAAAGTTCATCTTAAAAGCCTGCTTTGCTGGACCAACTCCCCACCCCCATTCTCAACCCCCACCCCACTCAGATCAATTATTGGAGCCCAGATTGGGGACCTCAAATGGGTGCTTCATGAAGCATAGTTATGTTTGTGTCGTTTGTGTTATGTGTAGATTGAAAGCCGGTTACGCAGTACTGCCAAAAGGCGGTCGCTCGCTAATGTGACAGTCTGGGAGGCTCTGAGTTAATTGGGGGTCTGTGGGGTCTGTCAGACCACCGCCACAGCTTTGCACACTGTAAAATGAGCATGATTACAGATGAGGTTTTAGAGCACTTTTTATGCTCACTTCTTATGATCAAATTTTATTTTGGGATTTTTTGCTCACACACATGCAGAAAACTGTCTCCTCTCACCAATTCAAGAGCTGCTGTGCTCCCCAATCCAACAAAGGCAGTGAATGTCACAGCTCTGAAGGAGAGATTCTCTTTGTGCTCGATTCATTTGCTGCAGGACACTTTTTTGTGTTCTTAAGCACAACAATGCTCCTGCTTTTTAACCTAGTTATTGACCTAACTCCGTCATGCATATATAAGCTGTTGACTAGGCATGGTTATAGATGCAGGTAGGTGCATGTAAGAATAATCCCAGCAAAAATTGGTTAGGAGAGAAACGCCCATTCTCCTCCCTGCACCTGGCTGCAGCTGTCCTTGTCACTTCACCCAATGTTAAATCATGAATGTAAGACGCTGTGTGCAGAACTTGTGCATAAAAAACGTATACACACAACACCACCACCACATGAGAACAGTTATATACGGATATAGCGTGAAACAAACGCGTGTTTTTGCCTTGTCGATACTGTGCAGAGCGCCGCCCAAGTAAAATAAGGTGGAATGGTATTCTCCGTGGCTGTGTAATCTCCTGAATCCCCGAAATGGACGGAGACATCGGGGAGCGTGGAAGACTGTAGGTGTGCATGATGCATTTCATTAATCGCCGGGAGGCACAGACACAAGCGTGCTCTGCTAAGGTCTGCAGATTTCCAGCAGACAGACGTCGGAGGCTTACCTCAACGCAACCTTCACACAGCAGTCTCCCTGGCTCCCCATTGCTGCTTTCAAGGTTCACGGGTGAAATATTTCGGGTAATGTTGTGTTTCCAGTGTGCGTAAACCGTGCACTGCTGCTGCGGCCGTGGCGGTGGAGGTGGGGGTCTCCGGTCAGCGGGAGCAGCCGTCAAGACCTGCCGGGGGTGAGGTGCCTCATCTGGACTCCTGTCCTCTTTTTCTCCTGTGCCGTGGCGGTCATCGCTGTCTCTCTGGCGTGTGTCACATCGCAGTGCTTAACCCGCTCTTTTTTTTTCTTTCGCTTTTTTCTTTCCGTGGTCTAGCTCGGTCGCTACATCCTGTTTAAAGTGCCTGTGAGGGAAGCATACGAGCGTCTCTCTGCAGCCACACCGCTTCTTTGAGCGAGCACGCTGAGTGAGCGCTGAGAACTGGAGGAGGTGGTGCCACCTTCACTGACTGTTGGAAATGTTCAATTCGCCAATGAACCTTTAATACGAGTGTCTCCCTGCTCCCTGATCACTGCCCCACTCTAATATAATATACACATTTGTGTAGGATGAGTTTTACTCATAAATAGTGAATAATTTATTAATTAAATCAATAACTTACTATTAACTTTCACTACATTCAATAATCAGCGACGAAGATGATGGGATACCTTTTCAACATAAAATGATATAACTTTATATTAAATATTTATAATATATATAATATAATATATCTGTGTTCTACTATTCAAAATTATAATATCCTAGAATAGAATAGAATAGAATAGAATAGAATAGAATAGAATATGTCTATTCTATACTCTGTTATTCAATATTATAGTATTCTATGCTATACTATAGCATAGTAATATATAGTACACATATACTCTATTATGCTATGCTATTTTTTATATGCTATCCTATATATAGGATAAGGTTAGGGGTTAGTCTATACTGTACACCTATATATAGTCTATGGTGTATACAGTATAGACTATAATATCCTCTACTATACTATGCTATCTTATCAAATATCTCTCTCTCTCTATGTGTATATATATATGTGTGTGTGTGTGTGTGTGTGTGTGTGTGTACTGTATCTGTACTGTTACTACAACTCTACTATTCAATACTACACACTACAGTATATTAGACTATTAGACTAAAATATCTTCTGCTATACTGTACTATAATCCAGTCCTGTACTATACCATGCAACACTATATATCCATCCATCTCTTTTTCCACTTATTCAATTCAGGGTGACGGGGCAGTTGGAGCCTATCACATGACAAAGCATATTACACCCTGGACAGGTCACCAATCTTTGACTTGCCAACACATAGCTGCAGATTTGAATCCAGGACCTTCTTGATATGAGGCGACAGTGCTCACCACTGTCTGACCCCGATGCTATACAAGCCTGCCTTAAACAATAAGCATGGCTGCTTTTGTGACTGATGCATGCATATGGGCCCACATCAAACAGCAGTGGCCAGATCTCCCCCAGAGGCTGACTGACTGAGAGGTATGCTTTGGCATACCTTAATGAGAGGGTTCTTTCTTTCAAATGCCAAAATACTTGGTGTTAAACTATCTATATCTCAAACTAACCACAATACGATAAGATAATATCTAATTGTAATTCATAAAATGAAGCATTTGAACGGTAACTAAACAACAACAATAACTACGGTCGCTTTTCTGCATTGCACTTGTTAAAAATAAATACGACGCGTCCTTGAAAGCAGCTTAATCGTATTGATTGGCGTGCAGTTGGACCAACTAGTAAAAATCTCACACCGTTTCTTAAAAATCCCAGACCAATCATCGAGGAGAACAGACCGATTAGCCCCACCCAGTGACACACCTCTCCTTCTGTAAAGATTACACATCTACAGCCATAACTGCGAGCGGTGACATCTGAAGTCCGTTAAAATGCCATAAACAAAGGGAGACTTTTCACATGAGCAGAGGAGGGGCCACCGGTCTGAACACCTTTGAGGTCAAACTTCAAATTCAAAAGTTATCGTATTATTGCTAAGACTCAGAGTTCATTGGCCCTGGCTTGGATGGGAAGTCAGACTCTGCACTCTTTGTGCTGAATCACATTTCTTCAAAAGGGGAAACTGAAATCCTTTCCCTTTAGTTGAGTCAAGCAAACAAGAAGATCTGTTGCCAGTCTTCCTCAATTTCTTTCTCCCTTTCTTCACTCACGTATACACAGAGCTTTCTTTCTTTCTATATGTTATTTATCTTGATCTATCTTGATCTATTTTTGGAGGTACAGTTTTCTCTGACACCCTCTACATTCAGGTTTCTGCTTCACTGTTTTAAATAATCTATGCAAAGTGAATGTACCACAGTGCCACTACACTGTCATAGTTGTTGGCAGCATTTATACTGGCACATCAAATCTACACTACAGCCTTTCCAAATACTCATCCCCCTCATTACCCATGCCTCATGTACCAAAGATGTGAACAGAACAAAACTGATGAGTTTGCCAGTGACACACTCACGTCTGCACTACAACAAGTTGCTTTTCCCTTTTCCAACACGCTTGCGAGCTCACTGTGTCACACCGCCAGACAGTTGCTGCTTTATCTATACATTTTGATTAAATTAGAATTCCTAGTGTGAGGGATTATCTCAATACTGATCAGCATAAACATTTCTCCCTCTCTCTGCACCAGCACTGATGACAATCACTTTTATGTTATGAAACAGAGCTTGCACACAGTTGCATGCACTGTAAACCTATTCAGTGCAAAGAGGAGCTTATGACTATGTGCGAGTGTGTGTGTGTGTGTGTTGGTGCCTGGGGGCCAGGTGGTGGTGGTTGGGGCTGCTGGATTCCATGCAAGATTATGAGGATAGCTAAAATCCTCCTAGATCTGCTGGTTACCAGCCACTAGCCGCCACAACTGGAACAACATAACACAGCAGTGAGGGTGGTGCATACAAACACACACTGGTGAACCAGAGACCACGCTGTAATTAGCTTGCACTGTTTTCCTAAGCGTTTGTTTAAGTCCTTTCACTCCTTTTCCGACCTGTTTACAGTTTTCAAATCCGCTCTGGGTGAATCTTTCCCCTGCACTGCCTCCTCTTCAGCGCTTTCAGGGTAAAAAAGAACATTTCATAACCATCCTCTGTGGGTTATAAGACCCTGAAGATATTTTTCAATATTGCAATTGCCACACTGCAGCATAATCCTTATATTTAGGGAGGTATACGATCAAAATAATTACATAAGCGGCATTAAAATACAATTGTTCAAGTCGCCTTTGGGTTTTGTCAGTCACGGTGAAGTCAGCACCAGCTCAGATTTAACACTTTGCTTTTTCGTGACCCACACACATTCATGCGCATCATCCTCATTACAGGAGCTTATGGTAATGTCCTGGGCTGAAAAGATAAAGATGAGTCATAACTTTCTTTTTGCAGCAATCTTTTTGTGGCTATTTTCAAATGTTGAATGGCCAATGTAAACTGGAAATCAGCCGTGATATAGTGGAACATGATATAAAAGACTTTTCCAGAGTTACCATATACCTGTACAGTGCTGTGAAAAAGCGGAAAAACTAATTCTGCCTTGAGAAATCCAGTGTGTCAGACCTGCTGGATCAAGAAATCACTTAAATAGAAGCTGTCTGACAAAGTAAAGTAGGCTAAAAGATCTCAAAAATCAACACATTGTGCCAAAATCTAAAGTCATTGGCATCTGTCAGTCTGGGAAGGGTTACAAAGCAATTTCTAAGGCAGTGTGCCACAGTGAGAGTGCATCGACGACTCATCCAGGAGTTCACAAAAACAGCAGAACAACATTTAAAAAGTACCTCACACTTTACTCATCTCAGTTAAGGTCATGTTCATGATTCAGGATAAGAAAGTAAGCAATTGGGCAAAAATGGCATTCTGAGAGAGCTCCAAGGAGAAAACCACTGCTGACCAAAAACAACACAAAGGCTCGTCTCACATTTGCCAAAAAAACATTTTGATGATCTCCAAGACTTTGGGGAAAATATTGTGAAGAATGATGACACAAAAGTTAAACTTTTCGAAAGGTTTGAGTCCCATTGCATCTGGTGTAAAACTAACACAGCGTTTAATAAAGAGAACATCACACCAACAGGTGGAGGTGTGATGTTCTCTGCTTTGCTCCTTCAGGACCTGGTCAATTCGTTGTAATTGATGGAACCACAAATTCTGCCCTCTACCAAAAAATCCTGAAGGTGGATGCCTGAACATCAGTTTATGCCCTGAAGCCAAAGCTCATTCGGTTTATGCAACAAGACAATGCTCATCAGTAAAAACCAGTAAGAATTTAAACAATTCTGAAAAGAAAAGTGGTCCAAAATCTCTCCACAGAGACGCGAAAGACATTTGCAGTTCTTGCTGGGAACGGTGGCACAACCAATTATTGGGTTTAGGGGCCAATGACTTTATGACACAGGGCCAGGTAGGTTTGGTTCACTTCTTTTCCTTAATAAATAAAATCATAATTTAAAAACCGATTTTTGTATCTACTCAGGTTATTTTTGTTTAATATTAAAACTTGTTTGATGATCTGAAACACATAAGTGTGACAAATATGCAAAAAAAACCCCTAAGAAATCAAGAAGAGCTTGAAGGTAAATACTTTTTATATTCACCATACTGTGTGAAACTCAGTTAAAACCAAAATGCATTTAACGCCAGTGAAGTCCAGACTTCTTGAACATCACATCTCCTCTGGTGAAAAAGACTGAAAAAGCACAAAGCTGAAACGGAGATGGAAGATGAAACTGCCCCCTGATGTACTCTCCATCTTTATTCTTACACTTTGATGTGTCTATAATCCCTCACATTCTATATTTGGCTTTGAAGCTCCATAAGCTAATCCCCCCTTTTTTTTAACCGTAACAAAACTGCTTGAATTGGCCAGGATTACGCAAACGCACATTTGACGACTCACTGGCTGGCACAGAAAGAGGTGCACTGTGAAAATAAGAAGTCGGGCCGTTGTATTATATATATAGTAGTTGAAATTTTGCTTTCTTACATGCCCTTCACTTCAACTTGAAGCACCTAGATTTCCATGGATGTTTAACGGTGGCTGTGTTTTATGCAGATGGGCAACAGAGGAGCTGCATATGTGCTTTAGATTTATGTGTGTCAGCTGCAGTGGCACACAGCAGAGCGGGCCCTTTGCCAGTACTTTGCAGTGCGAAACTCCCACAGTGATTTGTCTCACCATCCGAATGAGCATGACCGATAGAGGTAATGTAAGAATGTGTTTACTCTCAGCAGAGCAATGTTAAAAACACTTGATTTTACTGAAAGGCCTGATTTTGATCATGTGTTTATTACATAAGTAGGAACTTTTATGGCTTAAAAAAAACTAATAAAAATGGAAGCGCGCTGAAGTGCCAAA